GCACTAAAATCTCACAGTGGCCTTTGCCCGTGCGAAATTCCATGATTAGCCCCTCACATTGGATTAGCAGCCGGGCATTTCGCTGTACTATCATGGGTTCCTTTCTAAATCCATTGATGGCCACGGTAAAACATGCTTGAAGCAATGGTCGGTCTTTGGACAACTGAATGCGATGCTTCTCGAGATTCCATTCGGTCAGGGGTTCCCAGATAGGCATCAGGGTCTCCATTACCATGGCAACAGCTTGCTCCACATCCATGGAAGGATCCTTGATTTTGACCACGGTTAGGCACAATGCCAATGCAATCAGGATGATAATGAGGGATCTGATCGCAAATTTCTTGACCCGACTTGGAGAAATTAGCCACCGTCTGCTAGGCTCCCCCTGGAATTCATTTTTTAGCAAAGCAGTCATGTTCCTAAAAGTAATGAGAGGTCATTAGCATTGGAAAGGCGATTTGATCAAAATGAGGTGTTGTTTTTTTTTAAAGAAAAACAAAGGCAGATTAAAAAAAAATAAAATAAAATCGGGGTTTTATTTCTTATAAGCACAGTTCAAAGTCTTATAGTTATACAAAATAAATTAATGCAAATAATTAGAAATATGAATATTTTTATAAATTTTATTCAGAAGTTCAGTATTAATTATCTGAAATACTTATTACTGACATGTAGCTACCCTACAGTATATTTGAAACAAACCAGATTGAATTGGGACACTTTATAAATTCTCCTCATTCTGCAGGATAATTTGGCTGTGATTCATTTTGCAAAGGCAGCGTTCAGATAAAATAGGAATGGTGATAAATGAAGCATCAATTCTTTTACCGTAATATTGTTTCTAACTGTAGTGTGCCATCTCTAGAGGTAGTTCTCAACTTACAACCACAATTGTAAGAAACATTGTAAGAAAACTTCTGCAAGAAAACCAAACCAAAATTTCTGTTGCTAAGCAAAGCAATTGTTAAATAGAATAGAAGAATAGAATTCTTTATTGGCCAAGTGTGATTGGACACACAAGGAATTTGTCTTCGGTACATAAGCTCTCAGTGTACATAAAAGCTATCAGTGATAAATCATGATCATCGTCGTCATAAAAATACATTCATCATAAATCATAAGATACAACACTTAGTGATAGTCATAGGTTACTAAATAAGCAATCAACATAAATCAAAAATAAATGAGTTGCACCTGATTTTACAATGGTGGTGTTTTGTTTTGTTTTTTGTTTTGTTTTTTGGCCACAGTTATTAAACGAGTCACTGCAATTCTTAAGTGAATTAGGTAGTTGTTCAGTAAACCGACTTTGCTTGTTGGAAGCCAGCTGAGATCACAAATGGCGATCCCATCATCTGGGAAGTGCTACAGTGGCCATAAATACTTGCCAAACACTCAAATTTTGATCACGTGACCATGGAGATGCTGCGATGGTCATAAATGCGAGAGCCGGCCGGTAAGTCGCTTCTTTTTCAGTGCTGTTCTAACTTTAAACTGCCTCTAAATAAATGGTGTAAGCTGAGGACCACCTTTAATGGGAATGATGACCAAGCCGAGAAAAAATATGTGGATTCCTAGACTATATTCTTCATCCACTCTTCCATTCTGTATTGCAAGGGACATAGGCATTTCTCCATCTGGTCTGACATCCTGCTCCGTCAAGGATGCAGACTGTAAACATCTCTCTCTGGGTACATGATCAGATATGGAACGAGATTAAAAGTTTTCTTTTAAGACACCTCTGAAATTGGCGCCGCTAAACAACCTGCACTACACTTCTCTGCCCAACACCAACTAACTCCAGCACCAAGGAGTTAGCACACAGAACAGAGAATAACAGAGTTGGGAGGGACCTTGGAGGTCTTCTAGTCCAACCCCCTGCTCAAGCAGGAGACCATATATCATTTCAGACAAGTGGCTGTCCAGTCTCTTTTAGAAAGTCTCCAGTGTCAGAGCATCTACAAGCCCTGAAGGCAAGCCGTTCCACTAGTTGATTGATCTCACTGTCAGGAAATTCTTCCTTAGTTCAGTGGTGGGTTGCTACCAGTTTGTCCCTGTTCGGGCGAAACTTAATTGAAATGACTAAATATTGTTTAAATTTGTGAACCGGCCAAATACTCTGTTCAAAGAAAATACATTGTATGTTTGTATGTGTGTTTGTCTAAAATTTTTTAAAAAAACTTTTATAAAAAAAAAACCGCTCTGCACATGCGCAGAAGCACCACATGCTCGCATGCTCCCGATAGCGAACTGGTAGAGCTGGGATTTGAAACCCACTACTGCCTTAGTTTCAGTTTGCTTCTCTCTTTGGTTTGTTTCCATCCATTGTTTCTTGTCTTGCCTTCTGGTACTTTGGAAAATAAATGTGGGCGTGACTTGGTGGGCGTGGCAGGGGAAGGATACTGTAAAATCTCCATTCCCTCTCCAATCCAGGGGAAGGTTACTGCAAAATTCCCATTCCCACCCCACTCCAGGGGAAGGTTACTGCAAAATCCCCATTTCCTCCCAATCAGCTGGGACTTGGGAGGCAGAGAATAGATGGGGGCGGGGCCAGTCAGAATTTTTAATACCGGTTCTCCGAACTACTCAAAATTTCCGCTACCGGTTCTCCAGAACCTGTCAGAACCTGCTGAAACCCACCTCTGCCCTAGTCCTTCTTTTCTCTAGACTAGACTACATTAATAGTTATACTATAGACGAATAGTTTATAGTTAGATTATATATTTATAGTTGCCGCCATTAGTATCAAAAATAAGCGCACACATAAAAGCAACCTATAAAAATCCCCCTCCCCTTTCAAAAACTGCTGGACCAACAGCCCCAAATTCACCTGCAGACTCTGCTCCAAGCCGTTGCCTCCAAAGTAGAGTTTCCTACTACAGTTTCTCTCTCCTTGCAACGCACCACCTCAGGTGGCCTTCCTCCTTCCGTCCCTCCCACTTTACACAGAAGCAACCTATGTCGCTTGGCTGAGTGCCATCCAGCCACCCGGAGTCCCCCACCCGCATTGCCCAATAATTCCTTCTTCCGCACCTCATGCCCGGTTGAGAAGCCAAGCGGCGATGCTAGAGGGATTTCCTAAAAACCCGAAAGTTTCACGCTCAAATTCTTGCCAAATTCTACTGGGGGGAGGGGGGGACCAGTTAAGAAGGAAAAAAAGCACACACACAATCAGTTTCAGATTAAATTATTTTTATCCGTTTAATATCATGCAATGTATAGAAACACTTAGATTTCATTACATTTGAAGAGAGAGGAAAAACTCTTGAAACTCAGACACGGATCGAAATTCCCAGATCTGGGTTTTTAAAAAGTCCAGCCTTGGTCACTTCGGGAATACGATAGTCCAGGATTCATTCTCTCTCCCTCTCTCTCTCTCTCACTCTCTCTGTTTTTCCTCTCTCCTTTGTCCTTTCTCTCCCTCCCTCCGTTTTTCTTCTCTCTTTCTCTTTCTCTCTCTCTCTCTCTCTCTCTTCCTTTCTCTTTTTCCTCTCTTCTTTGTTCTCAATCTCTCTCCCTCCCTCCCTCCCTCCCTCTGTTTTTCTTCTCTCTTCCTTTCTCTTTTTCCTCTCTTCTTTGTCCTCTCTCTCCCCCTCTCCGTTTTTCTTCTCTCTCTCTCTCTCTCTTTCTCTTTTTCCTCTCTTCTTTGTCCTCTCCCTCCCTCCCTCTGTTTTTCTTCTCTCTCTTTCTCTCTTTTTCCTCTTCTTTGTCCTCTCCCTCCCACCTTTTTTCTTCTCTCTCTCTCTCTCTTTCGTCTCTTCTTTGTAGTCTCTTTCCCTCCCTCCATTTTTCTTCTCTCTCTCTTTCTCTCTCCCCTCTCTTCTTTCTCCTCTCTCACTCTCCCCCTTCCTCCCTCTGTTTTTCTTCTCTCTCTCTCTTCCTTTTTCTTTTTCCTCTTCTTTTTCCTTTCTCTCTTTCCTTTCTTCTTTGTTCTCTCTCTCTCTCTTCCTCTTTTTTCTTTTTCCTCTCTTCTTTGTTCTCAATCTCTCTCTCCCTCCCTCCCTCTGTTTTTTCTTTTCTCTTCCTCTCTCCTTTGTCCTCTCTCTTTGTCCTCTCTCTCCCTCCCTCTCGTTTTTCTTCTCTCTCTCTCTCTCTTTCTCTCTCTCTTTCTCCTCTTCTTTGTCTCTCTCTCCTCCCTCCCTCCGTTTTTCTTCTCTCTTTCTCTCTTTTTCCTCTCTTCTTTGTCCTCTCTCTCCCTCCCTCCCTCCGTTTTTCTTCTCTCTCTTTCTCTCTCTTTCTCCTCTCTTCTTTGTCCTCTCTCTCATTCTCCCCCTTCCTCCCTTTTTTCTTCTCTCTCTCTCTCTCTCTCTTCCTTTTTTTCTGTTTCCTCTCTCTCTCTCTCTCTCTCTCTCTCTCTCTCCCTTTCTCTTTTTCCTCTCTCCTTTTTCCTCTCTCTCTCTCTCTTCTTCCTTTCTCTTTTTCCTCTCTCCTTTTTCCTCTCTCTCTCTCTCTCTCTTCCTTTCTCTTTTTCCTCTCTCTCTCTCTCTCTTCCTTTCTCTTTTTCCTCTCTCCTTTTTCCTCTCTCTCTCTCTCTCTCTCTCTTCTCCTTTCTCTTTTTCCTCTCTCCTTTTTCCTCTCTCTCTCTCTCTCTCTCTCTTCCTTTCTCTTTTTCCTATCTCCTTTTCCTCTCTCTCTCTCTCTCTCTCTCTCTCTCTCTTCCTTTCTCTCTTTTTCCTCTCTCTTCTTCTCCTTTTTCCTCTCTCTCTCTCTCTCTCTCTCTCTCTTCCTTTCTCTTTTTCCTCTCTCTCTCTCTCTCTCTCTCTTCCTTTCTCTTTTTCCTCTCTCCTTTTTCCTCTCTCTCTCCCTCTCTTCCTTTCTCTTTTTCCTCTCTCTCTCTCTCTCTCTCTCTTCCTTTCTCTTTTTCCTCTCTCCTTTTTCCTCTCTCTCTCTCTCTCTCTCTTCCTTTCTCTTTTTCCTCTCTCCTTTTTTCCCTTCTCTCTCTCTCTCTCCCTCCCCCTCTTCCATCCCAGATTGGTGCCAACCGCAGAAAATCCAGGGGAGCTTTCCGCTGTTCAGCGGGAGACCCGGCTGGGCTTCACCGGAGCGAGTTCCTTCCAGGAGAGGGCAGCCGCGCCACCCCCATGCAGAGAGAGAGCCAGCTCAGAAGAAGCAGGAAGCGCCGCTCGGCAGCTGCAGGGACGAGAAAGCGCTCCGGCTCCCGAACTCTCCGGCCGCAGGTAAAGTCAGCCCAGGGGCGGCGGTGAGAGTCCGCCCCAGCAGCCTCCGCCGCCACGGAGATCTCACCTCCCCCGATTCCCACACGCACAGAACGGGGCTTTAGTCAGACTTGCGGGACAGGGCGGCTGTTTGCCCGTTTTGGCAACTATCCTTCGGAGCATCTCTGCCGCGCCAGGGACGAAGCTTTCCCGGCCTTGTTGACAAGGTGTGTTGCGTGTTGCGACGAGCACACAAAAAACCCTGTGCAAATTCCAAAAGGGCGCACCGGGTGCCCAAAGGACCAGGCAGCAGCAACTGTGGGTTGCGGAGGCAAATGGGGACAAGGTGTGTGTGTGTGTGGGGGGGGGGGGGTGGGGGGGGTAGGAGGAAAGAAGAGGGGAAATGGGGGGGGGGGGGGCGGGGGGGGGGGGGGGGGGTAGGGGTGGAGGAAAGCAGCCTTTATTATTCTGCCTTTGGCTCAGCGGCTCAAACGTACTGCTTCGCTCCTCCTCCGTTTTCCTACAACAACCCTGCGAGGGAGGTTGCAGAGAGAGAGAGAGAGAGAGAGAGAGAGAGAGAGAGAGAGAAAGAAACTGAAACTCAACGGTCCGAAGTCAGGAAGGATTCAAAGTGGGCTGGGGAAAAAGAGAATGGCTTTGTCGCCTTTTGGAATCCAAACTGGAAGAAAGGAGGAAAGGAAACAGGGGAGCAAATTGTTGTTTGTCGTAGCCTGGTGCAAAATTAGAACTTAACTTGATTTATTGTCACTTTAAATGTACACTAATCGGCACACGGCTCTCGAAGGGTCACCACCTCCAATATGCACGACATAAATATGACAAAAAGAGAAAGGAAGGAAGGAAGGAAGGGGAAAGGAAGGAGAGGGAAAGGAAGGGAAGGAAGGAAGGAAGGAAGGAAAGAAAGAAAGAAAGAAAGAAAGAAAGAAAGAAAGAAAGAAAGAAAGAAAGAAAGAAAGAAAGAAAGAAAGAAAAAGAAAGACTCATATACCCACATATATTATATGACACAGAGAAACAACACAGTCTACTTTGGATATATGAGGCTAAAATGGCTGCTGAGCTACCAAAAGAAGCAGAATTCAGTGGAAACAGCCCACAGACATTTTGGCAAAGTTTTAGTGCCAGTTATCCTGGCTATCAACTAAATCAAACAATGTCAGACTTAGCGTCGCCCTTGAACTCAGTGGAAGGAACTTTGCTGGGTTGCTAAATAAATTCATTTCTGTTAAATAATTCACCTGGTGTACAGCATTGTCCTCTTTTCCTCTCCTTTTCTCCTAGGCTTGGTTATGGCAATGCAGGATCAATTCATACCATCAATTGAGGAGGAGGAGGATTTTTTCAAAGACTATGTCGTCATCGCCAATGAAGACGTTGAAGAGATTAAGGATGCTCTTAAAGAAGGGAGAATGGACAAAGCCGTTTCCAAGATTATGGAAAACCTTCAGGCCCTGGAGAAAACTCACTTGGACATAGCAGTAACGGGAGAATCTGGCTCGGGGAAGTCCTCCTTTGTCAATGCCATCCGAGGGCTTGGAGATGAAGAAGCGGGTTCTGCTCCCACTGGGGTAGTGGAGACCACAGAGAAGCCCACACCTTACCCACACCCCAAGGACCCCAATGTCACCCTGTGGGATCTACCTGGAATTGGAACGCCAACGTTCCGCGCCAGCACTTACCTGCGGCAGGTTCGGTTCTCCCGCTACGACTTCTTCATCCTCATTGCCTCAGAACGCTTCAAGGCCAGCCACGTCCAGCTGGCACAGGAAATCTGTCGTCAGGGGAAGCAATTCTATTTTGTGCGCTCCAAAGTGGATGCAGACCTGGAAGCTAGCAGAAAACGCCGGCCACAAACTTACGACGAGGAGGCTATACTGGGACAGATGCGAGAACATTGCCGGAAGTGCTTAAGGGCTGAGGATATGCCCGATTCCAGAGTGTTCCTTCTCTCCAATTGGGAGATAAATAAATACGACTTCATGATGCTGGAGGAAACCTTGGAGAAGGAATTGCCAAGCCATAAGAGACATGCTTTTCTCCTGTCCCTGCCAAACATCTCTCTGGATATCTTGCAGAAAAAGAAGATGGCTTTACAGAAAGAGATCTGGAAGCTGGCTACTGTCTCCGCTGGAGCGGCTGCTGTCCCTATTCCAGGCGTCGGGGTAGCCTGTGATGTAACCATCCTGATCAAATACCTCTCAAAATACCGCGACAGTTTTGGTCTGGATGAGGAATCTCTTGCCAGGTTGGCTAAGAAGGCCAACAAATCGGTAGAGGAGATCAAAGAGGTAATAAAGTCACCGTTAGCTAAAGAGATCTCCAGAGATTTAGTTCTGAAGCTACTCACCAAAGCTGGTGGCGGGGCACTTATGGTTATGGAGTACTTTGTCAGCACGATACCCATCTTTGGTTCCGTGGCAGCTGGAGGGATCTCCTTTGGTACCACTTTCTACATGCTCAAGAGCTGCCTGGATGAGGTGGCCAACGATGCTCAACAGGTTTTCCTCAAGGCTTTTGAGTCTGAGGTCTGAAGGAAGTTAGACCTTGAGGAACAGACTGGGAATGAGGGCACAATCAATGTTAAGGGTACTGAATCAGACACTGTTATTTACACAAGCCCATAACTAAATTCACCAGCCGGAAGAGGGTGGGGGGAGACATGAAGTACAAAACGTGGCCTTTTGCAATAATTTTTTAATGATAGTTGAGCGGTGGGCTACTTTATTTCCATTTATTGCAAAATGTAAAGAGTATGGCGGATTCCGGGATATTAATTATGCCACCACTGTAAAACTATGCTTCCCAGTATTCTTTGGGAAAAAAGACAAATAAGGATGAAGTTGGTAAAGCACAAATTGCCCTGTATTTAGGATTTCCTATATTTGACACATTTTATATCTGACCAAACCATCAAAGCTGACACCAGAGCACAGAAAAACTCAAAAAGTACTGTAAAGATCAGAAAATGTGGAGAGATCTGGACCATATAATCATCAAGGGTTGGACACGATTGAATGGATAACATCATCACCTTCATCTTCATCGACCAAAGGCCTTCTTGCAATGAGCTGCTTTTTAAGTTGTAAAGTTAGACTTCCTTATTGTGCTGGTTAATTTTAATTGAAGCTGAGTAATTTATCAAATTGCAGATTGGTACTAAATAATGAATGTTTGAGATTTCCTAAAGATCTGGATGGCCCCAGGGTTGCAAGAATTGTTTCAAGATCATAGTGAATTTTAATGCTTCTCTGAGTTATTCAACAACAAAGCCGCAAGCAGTCAAGAAACTTAACACTGGTACACCACAGGGTTGTGTGTTGAGTCCCTTACTCTATACTTTTTATGTACATGACTGCATTCCCATTCACGCAAGTAATACTATCATTAAATTTGCAGATGATACAACAGTGGTGGGACTGATCTCTGGAGGGGATGAATCTGCCTATCGAGATGAGGTGGACCGGTTGCTTTCATAGTGTGGAGACAATAACTTGGTCCTTAGCACCAATAAGACCAAGGAGCTTATAGTGGACTATAGAAGGAATAGATCAGACATCCAGCCCTTGCTTATCAATGGAGACCGAGTGGAGCAAGTGGCTAGTTTTAAGCTTCTGGATGTTATCATAAAAAGAGGACCTCATATTGCAACACTTGTCAAAAGGGGCCAGCACAATTATACTACCTGAGACTTCTCAGGAAACAACTGAATGAAAAACTGCTGGTGACCTCCTACCGCTGCACCATAGAGTATTTTTAACTTACCGCACCTGTGTATGGTTTGCCAATTGCACAGTGGCAGATAGGACAGCGCTCCAGAGGGTCAACGTCATTGCCCAGAGGATCATTGGCTGCCCCCTCCCCTCTTTGGAAGAACTTTATATCCCCCACTGCCTTAAGAAAGTTCAAAACATTCTTAAAGATCCATCTCATCCTGGGCACCCTTTATTTTTTTTAACTATTACCATCTGGCAGACGGTACAGGATAACAAAACTAAGGACAAATAGGCTGAAAAACAGCTTCTATCCCAGAGCAGGAACTATATTGAATTCTACGGTATAGTGCAATATCAGAGTTTTTTTTTAATTCAATTGTATAAAATGTGAAGGATGTGTGCTTTTATTTTTTATGTATGATGTAAACTGAAGATGGCATTTAATTTCATTTGTATGAGGTGCAATGACAATAAAGTAAACTAAACAGGCCTTCTGCTTGAGCCAGCCTCCAAGGTCTCTTCCAACTCTGTTATTTTAGTATTCTGTTATTATTCTCTGGAGAAGACTGCAACACTGGGAAAGGCTGAAGGAAAGAGGTCATCAGTACGGTGAATGGATTCAGTTACAGAGGTGAGGAGTGAATTTTTAGGCAGACTTAAAAAACCAGACTGGGGACAGATCATCATGGAGAAAATCTGTGTGACTGCTCGGAGTCAATGACTTCATGGTACTTAATCAATCATTCAGCTGTTCTTGACTTTTTCTTCTACGTTGATACATGCTGTTCAGTCACATCTCTGTGTTGGACGTATCTTAAAATATCTTAAATGAATGAGTAAAAACATTTTTGTGTGAATGGCTGGAACAGCTGGAAGCTTTCGTGAATGGACCTGTCAAATGACAATGGATCATTCAAAAGTTGCTTTTTAGCTTCTAATATGAGAAAGCTAGCTAATTTACTTTTTAATTCCTAGGAAAGTTCTTTTTTTTTTTTTTTTTACTTTATACAGTTTTTAAGAACAGCAAGTTTGAATGAAAAGGAAATTCTTGTTTTTTCGCTTCACTCCCTGCAGCTGTATCCCAAAGATGTCTAAAGAGATTTTCAATTATCCATGGTTGTCCCAAAGATGCTTTTTGCAAAGGGCAACTGGACTTCCTTGTTTTTTTTTTTTCCCCCTTTGAAAATGTTTCGCTTCTCGTCCAAGAAACTTCCTTCAGTTCTGAATTGAAGTGAAGAAGCTTCTTGGATGAGACATGAAATGTTTTCAAAGGAAAAAAACCAAGGAAATCCAGCTGCCTTTTGGAAAAAGAACTTTTGGGGTATCCCGAAAATATTAAGTCAGAAACATTACAAATAAAAAAATATTAGTTCCTTGCCAAAGTAAGAGCCTTTTAAAAAACTTTTACATCAATTTATTTGGATACTGTTAACAAATCTGAATTTGCACGTTATGCATTAGGATTCTGCTGCTCTTCAGATCCAAAACAATGCTGTCTGAAACTTATAACACTGTCTAAAACTGGAGAGCAAACATTACATTAGAAACGTAGGTAAGGCTTTGATCCATAGATTTCAATTCAAAGCCATTCAATCAAATCCACGTTGGATTGATTATTCAAGTTAAATTGAACTGAAAAGACTGAAAGATCTGTTCAAACTGATTTCTGAAACTGATTTGAAGAGCCTAGTTCAATCACTTCTTATCTGCAATCTGTATTGGACTAAATTGTCCAAACCGGAGCCAATTTGCTAGCCAAAATTGAAGGCGGAAAGAATCCAATTGCAAAAAAAAATAAAAAATGAGAAGACCCCGCTATGATACTTTTCGAGATACCTCTCGTCTCACATATAAGAACAATTATGAAAACTGATGTATCTTTAGAACGTCACTCCTCCAATACTTGTCCTCCCATATTTTTTTGCTTAGTGCATGTCCACCACATATGGTAGTATGGGCCTGGTGTCTGATTGCACTTCCAGCATTTAACCGATTTGTTTTTATACATGTTCGCTAATCTTGCAGATGAGTAATGCCATCAATAAAACATTTTGTAGAGGTTTTCTTTGTATGCTGTAGACATTGTAAGTTTTATGATTTCTGTTCCATAATTTCTCCCACTTGTCCAAATCTATTGTGTAGACAAAATTCTTGGCTACTCTTCCAATACTCGTCAAGTGCAAATGATAACACAGCAGTGATTTATTGTGTGTGTGTGTCAAAATAGCCATCAAAATGGAAGCAGCTTCAACAGTTTATTGAACAAGAATAACCATTCATGCAAAAAAAAGTAGAGGTCTGTCCAGTTTGCATTGGGGGACCAGGAAAAAATAGGGTCAAACAGAGGGAAGGGACACAGGCTGGAATAGAGAGATACGAAGGCATTATACATGCCCCACAAAATGAAAGCTTTTATGTATGACACACTGAAGTAGGGTGGAAACCCTGCGAATACACAAACAACACTTAACTCCCCACCGACCTTTGGCCTCACCTGCTATTCCGATGCAGAGGAGTTTCACTGTCCCCCTCCCACCAGGAGATTGTATATTTGAACCCCTCCTTGTTCAAAAGACCCGGCACAACTCTGGAATTAGTACAAGAGAAGCTCTCCCATCTAGGCCAGACCCCCAAGGGACAAGACCCCATTGTGAACAGGATGGTCCTTTAGGGATGCAAAGCCAAAAACCTTGCCATTTTTCCTCTTAAATCTTCCCAGCGCCACCGAAGGAGTGCCCCTCCCTTCTCCGGGAGACATATCATCCTGGGCCACGGCACCAGGGGGCAGATACCCTGCTCTGCTCCAGCTCAGGGATGGAGCTGCCTCTCAGCAGTTCCAGTATAGAGACAGTGTGCTCACGCCAACAGCCGGCTATACTCAGAGAGAGCAGAGGACTTCTTGACGCCATCCCAGATGCGTGCTGCATAGTGGAACCTGAGGGGAAGAAAATATCAAGATTCTGGTCAATGTGTATTAGGTGAAAGTTCTCTATTATGGTGTGGACCTTCACTGGCAAAGCCCATGGTGTTTGATACAAGAGGTCTGGAGCACGTCAATTAGCTTTCTCCTTCAAGGTGGGAGACGGAGGATCTTGTGGCCCGCCAGCGACCAGTGGAGCTGGCAGCAGATTCAGACAGTGAGGAGGTTGGGGAGGAACATGGGCCAGTCCTGGAGTCTGGGGAAGATTCTGACGAGTGCTCTGCGCCAGATGCAGAGAGGGGGCCAGGACCGCATGACAGGTATCAGCTGCCTTCGAAGTCAGACATCAGTGAGGCAGACGAACAGCTGGACCCTGTTCCCAGTGTGCGCATGCGCAGAGTTGCCAGACGAAGGGAACAGCTAAGGAACAAGGGCCGACTTGGGAGTAAGGCCACAGGTGGATAATGAAGGGCCCCTCCCATAGGGAATAAAAGAGGAGTGAAAAGGAGAGGGGAGTTTGCAGGAGACAATTAGTTCATTCCTGCATTCTTGCCAAGTATTGCAGCATCTGAAAGACATTGGCCTGGCCACTCTCCAAGCCTGATAAAGGTCGGTAATTGTGAACTATCTTGAAAGACTGTGGGAGAGGAAAGACTTTGCTGGAGAGGAATTCACTGTAAATTAAATAAAAGGGGTTTATTGGGACGAGGACTCGGCTTCGTGCTGCTGGGGAAGCCTAGGTCAGAACAGATCTGATCTAGGATGTCTCGGCTGCCACAAGTCCCACCAGCCTTAGCTGCAGTTAGACATATGCTTACCAGTTCTTTTCTGTCAGGATGGTATGGGAGAGCTGAGGCCGGGACATGGACATCATCTGGCTCCGAAGCTTGGCAATCAGAGACTGGAAGCTGGGGTGTCCTTTGTATCCAGGAAGGAGGGAGAAGAGAGAGCCACTTCCTGAGGCTGTAAAGTAAACGGAAGACTGGTGTTTGCTCCCCATTTGTTGGCATGGCCAACAAATACATCCTCCCCAAAAGATTGTGAATAATCCCACAGGAATATGGAAGCTACGGCTACCATCCCCACATCTTTAGCAAGTTTCTCCTTTTCATAGGCTCTGAATATTGAATCCCTGCCCGATTCAATATTCAAACAAATGGGAAGCCCCAAAATTCTATAAAGGATCTTATTGGGTCGGAACTTAATGCAACTCATTATGTTGAGCAGAAATCTGTCAGGGGAGAAAGCCCTTGTCTTTTGTCAGAATATTCATGAACTGGAATAGGGCATGGTAACAAGGTCAGCCAATGAATAGGCATAGCAACTAGGTCAGCCAATGAGGACTGTTTGGAAACTGAAACTGGAAGGAGCCTGGGCGTGGCTCTGTATTAAGCTCTTGAGCTCAAAAGCTGCAAACCAGTCTGCTGAATTGAAACTGAAACTCATCTCTGCTGTTCTCTCCTCTGCCTGTGTTTTTTTGCCTGTAACTCTCTACCACGTTGGAAGAATCCGCTGTTGGTATTGTGTGTGTTATTATGTATATAAAGAGAAGTTAATGAATCCTGCTTTGTGTGCTTTCTGGATGCGATTTCTGCAACAAACTCTGACATCTTTTTCCTCCCTGTTAATTGTCCACGAAGCACTTGTCCCTCCCTGGTAAAATGCAAAGCTCAGATCAGATTTTCTTTGTTTAGCAGAGAAACAGCATGCTGTGTTAAGATATTGTATATATGTGTAGGGCAAAAACCACAAAAGCAGGAAATAGCAGTATCTCATCTCCATGTTCTGGCTACAACAAACCCATACAAACTTCCACAATGAAAATAACGGTTGTTCAAAGTCAGGATGTTCTAATTAAGTGGGTATCTTAAATTCAGGTTTGTCATCTTGATGTTTGGGACGTGTTCAAAAACTTTTCAAGGTCAACCTATTGCAAAAGGCCTGGTTCACGGTGAACCTGAAGTGATCTGACTCCAAATGTGGTTGCACCCCCGTGGAAGTTTAGGATGTTTTCAACTCTTGAAATGTTTTGCACATTTACTCTGGATGTTTTATTTAGAGAGGAACCGGTCTGGAAGAAGGAAACAAGAGCAGCTTTGTATCCTGACCGAAGGACAAGAAAAAGCTGGGAAGTGGATTCTCGGGACTCACTTGCTCTGGGTAGCACGTCATCCGTTTCAGAATCCATGAAGGGTAGTAAGAACAGGTTGACCTCTGTATCCAGGTAGCTCTGTGGCAGGCCAGGGAATATGTTACATTCAAGCATGGAAAGAGTACCTAGTAGGAAAAAATTGGAACTACTAAGTTTCCCTGTCTTTTGCCAGGCTGAGCCTTCCAGAAAAAACATGAATTCAAGTTTCTATTAGTGAGTGAATCAATCTTTCTTTTTCTTTTTCTTTCTTTCTCTTTTTCTTTCTTTCTTTCTTTTCTTTTTCTTTCCTTTCTTTCTTTTTCTTTCATTCTTTCCTTCCTTCCTTCCAGTTTTTATTTTATGCCTCCCTGCCTCCCCCTCTCCCTGCCTCCCTCCTCCCTTTCTTTTTCTTTCTTTCTCTTTTTCTTTTCTTTTTCTC